CCCGACCCTCCAAGTAGGGTTTAGAGTGTAGGAATAGGGTGTAAGGTTTAGGGGTTATTGGGGATTACGGTTTCAAGGTTTAGGGTGTAGGGTGCCTATTTTGTGAAGTAAGATATGGGTTGCTACATGTGACACCCTGACCACGAAGCATGAACATGCCCGCATCCTGGAGGAGCGTCAGAGACCAAAATGTAACCACCAAGCCGATTCGCTAATAATTATGCAGGGTTTGAACGACCTTAAGCCCCAAATCCGTATACCTCCAGACCCCTAAACTCCTAAACCCCAAACTCTCAACCTTAAACCCGGGAAGGGGGTTTAGGGTTTGGGGAGGTCCTCAACCCTCGTGTATGGCTGCTCTAATGCATACAGTTTGTATGACGTATGCATCTCAACCTTTGCAGGGACCTCCTAACCCCTAAACCCTAAAACCCTAAACCCTAAAACCCTAAACCCTAAAACCCTAAACCTTAAACCCTAAAACCCTAAACCCTAAACAGTAAAGCCCTAAACCCTAAAGCCCTAAACCCTAACACCCTAAAGCCCTAGACCCTAAAACCCTAAACCCGAAACGCGGTAAAGGACGGGTCCTCAAACCCTGAAGGTCCATCTAGCCCAAAGGCTCCATGTACCTTTATAGTAGTTACTTAAGCCTTGAACGGGTCCCTATATAGGTACTTTAGGGCTTAAGTATCTACTACAAAGGTACATGGAGCCTTTGGGTAGGAGACTGTTCTCAGGAGTCGGGTAGGCAACCTTCAACCTTTCAGGGTTTAGGGTTTAGGGTGTAGGGTTTAGGCAAAGTTTAGGGTTTAGGGTGTAGGGTGTAGGGTTTAGGCAAAGTTTAGGGTGTAGGGTGTAGGGTGTAGGGTTTAGGGCAAAGTTTAGGGTTTAGGGTTTATTCCAGATTTTACCTTTAGTTCGCCCAGGATACTGGGCAAGTAAGTGTTAATTGTTGTTTCTCAGGTTCCATGTGCCCCTACTTGGAGGGTCGGGAGACTTAGTAAGTAGGTAATAAGTAGACTTATAAGTACCCTAAAAGGGACCCTAATTGGGGTTATAGTACTTATAGGTCTATAAAATAACCATTTACTAAGTCCCCCGACCCTCCAAGTATCGTATCCACTTTGGTGAGAATCTTGAACCCTAAACCCTGAACCGGAAGAACTGTAGCAACCAATGAATGCCAAAGCATGCACTCCATGGGTTTTCAGACCTTTTGCGTCAATCATCAGTTTAAAGTTTAGGGTTCAGGGTCAAAGCAGTATTCCCAGAGACTCCAATACCCCTTAATTAAGGAATATACCGTAAATTATAGTAGGATCCCTAATATGATTTAAGGTATATTCCTTAATTAAGGGTATTGGAGTCTCTGGGTTCCTGCAGCCTCCCAAGATGCGGCAAAAGTTCATTCTTCTCCCAAAGCTTGCAGAACTGCATCGCCTCTTACCCAAAGGCTCCATGTACCTTTATAGTAGATGCTTAAGCCCTAAAGTACCTATATAGGGACCCCTTCAAGGCTTAAGTAACTACTATAAAGGTACATGGAGCCTTTGGGATTCATACTGCACCCTAAACCCTAAACCCTAAATCCCTAAACCCTAAACCGTAATACATCCTTAAAGCTCTCCGGTGCTTGGAGGATGCGTATGACACCTCCGTCGACAAAACGCACCGCAGCAGTGCCGGATCGAATGGAAACATCAAGGTGGTGAAGGGTTTGCTCAAAGGGTCCTAAGTACCTACATAGTAGAATGTAGGATTTCTATAGTAGGAATTATTATTATGATGTGGGAAAGTATCCCCCATAACATTACCTAGGACCCTTTGAACTTTGGGTTGTTGAAAGCAGCCTAAACCTGAAGGCCCCAAATCTCTGAATCCCAAAGCTCCAACGCATTCGGATTTTGGTGTTCTGGTGTTTTCAGTTTGGGTTTAGGGTTTAGGGTTTTTCAGTTTGGGTTGCATGTAGGCTCGGAGCTGTCATAATCTGGAGCAGTTCTAGTTCAGGAACTAATTTGCTTGAAAAGGCGTTCCATTGCACGTCCGTGGAGCCCCTGGGTTTGTTCGAAATTGTTAAAGGCGGAGGGTTTCGGGTTTAGGGGCAGCCTATGATAGGCTGGTGAGGTTCATTTCTGCGCTAGACGTAGTGGGTCGTCGTCGCTGTGGTCATGGTGGTCCTCGTCGCCGTTGTCTCCGTGGTAGCGGAGAGCATGGTCATCTTTCCAAGAGGGTACATAGAAAATTACAATTATGGAATTAGGTCCCCCAAGACCCTAATAGGGATGGTCTTTGGGACATTCCACCCTATGAACCCTAAACCCTAAACCGTGGCCCATACTGGTTGTATATACGGACCGTCTGTTTTTTTCATGAAGCTGCCGCATCAGCCATCAGCCATCTCTTTGGTGTTCTTAGTCTTACCTGTGGATCCAAAAACCTACCGCTTTAAGGATTCTACCCTCTACGTAAGGGGTCATAACCTACTATCTTGTAGGGTTCTGCCCTCTAATTAAGGGGTCATAACCTACTATTTCGTAAGGCTTGGGGTCACAGGTAGCAGTTGTTATGCTGCTCTGGCTGCTGACGAAGAGGTTGTCTGATTTTCTGACGACAGAAGCTACCTAGTCAAGATGCTCGCCCATGATATCGGCGGAAGATGAAACTGCTCAGCAGACAATGAGTCATTGAGTACAGTATGCTGCTGACAGGTTTCAGTTTGACTTGAGGACCACGACATGAGCACAACATGCTCTGATCGCACTGAGGACGATAACCTAGCCCAGGTGGTGCTGAGTGGTGGTAATTATGAAGATGACCATGCTGATAGTGACTATCGTCATGATGGTGAGGTCGATGGCGACCTTCATGATCATTGCTATCATCGTGTTGATGTGGTGATGGCGAGCGTGCTGCTGAGATTGTTGGTTTGGACCTTGGTAGTGAGTGGTGCAAGCATTATCAAACGATCAAGTCACATTTGCTATGCATGCAGTTCTGGTGTGATCAAAGTTCATGAGGATTGCAATGGTGATAATGTCAATTCTCCTGGCCATTGTGGGTTTGAAATGCTGATTAGTGAAGATTTTCGACACAAGGCGTATTTCAGGCAAACGCTTTACTTCCGTTTCATTCTTTGAAGCATCGCCGCCAGCGACGAGTATGATTGTACTTGGACTTCGGAGCAGCGTTCAATGTGGAAGCAGTTCCCAATGGTTTTAGGGTTTAGGGTCTGCAAATGCATTGCAGCCTGCCGACGAGAGGCAAATGAGCTCCTGGCGGGTACTCGAGCATCGCTGGAGGACATGTGTCCCGGCCGGTTGTATAGAACCCTAAGGCCTAAACCCTAAATCCTAAACCCTAAAACCTAAACCCCTAAGCCCTAAACCCTCCCTCGCGCAGCTTTTGAGGGCATGAGATGGCCGCATGCATTTTGTGTCCGACATGGCTTGGCAACCACTCCCCGGATTGAAAATCGGGTTGTAGGGTTTTGCGCTTCAACCCCTAAACCCTAAACCCTAAACCTTTATCAACAGCCCTTCTCAACTCTAATCGCACCTCATCCTGCAGACATTTCGGGCACCTTTTAGCCTTCTAAACCGCCTAATAGTGCCGCCTAATAGTGCGGCTTTGTCTGCTGTAGCTTAGTAGCTGAGTGGATACACTTTACACTTTGGTGGTTAATATTACCCACTATGAAACTGAAAGTGTACACTTTTTGTGGCTTATGAACTCAGCAACTAAGGTAGGAACATAGGGTTGTGTGGCTTACTGGTTGGAGCTCGGGTTCAGGGTGTAAGCTGTACCTGTATCCCCAACCCCTACAGAAAAGCAGGTTCTGACCCCTTAATTAAATCAGAGGGTCTAACCCCTGAAACACTCGGTTTTCGGATCCCCAGGTAAACTCTGCAGACTGTCAGCTCAAGCCTACTTGGAGGTTCATGGGACTTAGTCACCGGGGTTATACTGTACTTATAACTACGTACATCCCCACTTAAGGTAGTTATAACTGTACTTACCCTAAGGGTCCATGTGCCCAAATAGTAGAACATTGGCCTTAGTGTAGTCCCTATATAGGTACTTTGGGGCCAATGTTCTACTATTTGGGTACATGGACCCTTAAACCCTAAACCCTAAACCCTAAAACCCCAAACCCTAAACCCTTTAAGCGAACCCTTAAAGGAACCCTTCTTAGTCCCATGAACCTCCAAGCGCAGCTTACTCCAGGCGTTTGAACCCCAACACATCTCAGCCCCAGACTCGTCTTTCCGTAAACCGTAAGCCCACGGCCCTGGTATATTAAGTATTTAGGGTTTAGGGTTCAAAGCTTGGGGTTTAGGGTTCAGGGCTTTGGGTGTAGGGCTTGGGGGTTTAGGGTTTCAGGCTCGGAGTTTAGGGTTTAGGGCTTGGGGTTTAGGGCTTGGGGTTTAGGGTTTGGGGTTAGGTTTAGGGACCCTGCCAACAAATCTCAGGATCATGGCACATTTGCTTGCTTTGGCCCACCTGGCAAACGCTCCGATCACCCACCGCCACGCGGCAACACATTAAACGGCCCTAAACCCTAAACCCTCAACCCTGGGTGGGTCTTGGCCTAGAGAGCTTGGGCTAGAGGGTCCTTTACTGTAGGGGCCTAAATAATTACCTATACTATTTTGGGGGGTTCCTTATTATTATCCGAAAAAACAAAATGGGCCCCAAAACCCTATTCCTTCATTAATTAAGGCCCCCCCCCATATTGGAGGGTTTAGGGTTCCCTTACAGGCTTCCGAAGTCCGCAAGCAGAAGATATTTTCCTAAACAGCCAAACCCCCAGCTCCAAACTTGCAGAAAACCCGCAAACCACTCAGATCAGAAGCCACAAACCCGGAACCTTCAGCCCTAACCCGTAACCCTATACCATACCCTACGGGTCCATGTGCCCAAACAGTATATACTTTGGCCTTAATGTAGTCCCTATACAAGTACTTTAGGGCCAACGTATATACTATTTGGGCACATGGTCCTGAATCTAAGACTGTCAAGGCGAAATTCTGGGGCCCTTGGTGGTGTCTGCGGCCTGCCCACTGCTGCAGGCAGAGGTTTTCGGACCCCGGAAGTAACCACCTCGTCAGGACCATGAAGACTTTGCCGATGTCTTCGATTATAGGGATGATGGTGATGATGATGCTGATGATGATGGTGTCGGTGATGGTCATGATGATAATGACGATGACGGTGATGATGACGATGATGATGATGATGATGATGGTGATGAGGATGAAGATGTTGATGAGAATGATGATGGTGTTGGTCATGGTGATGGTCATGGTGATGATGTTGATGATGATGATGCTGTTCATGATGATGACGATGATGATGATGATGATGATTCTGGCCTTGGTGACGGTGATCATGCTGCTTATCAAGCCTCTAACTAGAGCCCTACGCCATCTAATCAACACCCGCAAAACCCTTCACGACACAACACGCCTCACTGCCTTGGAAAGCCAATAGGAGAATTTTGAACTTTATGGCCTTATCTATATAGTCTATAAGGTCTATCCTTAAAAGTCTGAACTTTGTTGGGCCTGGTTGTTGAAGAAGAGAGTGCAACCTTCAACCCCCCAACCCTAAACCCTAAACCGTGCGAGGGCGAAAGCTGTGTGCCCGAGCCGACTGATGCTGTGCGTCGACTCTACAAGAACCTGGGTTGGACTCTGCCCGAACGCCGCTTGTCAGGCACTCTGCACCCAAAGCCCCTGAACCCCTAAGCCCTAAGCCCCTAAACCGCAAACCCTTAAACCCATAAACCCTAAGCCCTTAAACCCCAAACCCTGGGTTTGGGGTTGACGGTTTGGGGTCCTGGTGCTCGTGAGAGTAGACTTGGCGTTCTTCTGGTTGGCTCTTAGGACTTTAACCTTTTGGGGGCTCCTATATGAACTATAAGGAGGCTAAAAGTTTAACCTTTAGCATCAAAATAGCCCAAACGCCTTAAATAGTAGTGTCCTTGGGCCCAAAAGCTTTAACATATGAGTCCTTTGAGGGTCAGGGTAACTTTTAGGAGGGGTTCAGAAGTCAGTCAAGTAGACTTTAGAGACTTAAAGGAGATATGCTGCAATCTGCTGTTCTTTGGGGTTCGGAGAGAGCGGTGGACCTCAAAGGTTTAAGTTTAGGCGTTTCTAGGATTAATCAAGGGTCTTAGGTGTGTGTTTTGGCGTTAAACTGCATAAAAAAGTTTGCTTGATTGCTTGAGACCCCGAATCCTGCGAGACAGTTGGTTATGATGGTAGCTAAACCCTAAACTCTAAACCCTGTAGAATTCTCAAAGTACCCTAAACCCTCGACCCTAAACTCTAAACCCTAAACCCCTAAACCCTAAACCCTAATCCATAAACCACTCGGTACTTGGAGCCGTGTTAGGTGGCAGCCCTATTTTCTCGTGGAAGCTGCTTGAAACCATAAAAAGACCTAAGAAATCACCGCGCAAGCCAAAGAACTCCTATGAAACCCTGCGAAACCTTTCCTTCAGGGCCCCAAAACAGGGTCGGTTAGGGTTGAGGGTTTAGGGTTCTTTGACTAGGACATTTTCAGGTGGGTAGTTACCGTTATAGGAGCCCTATAGAAGGTCTATATACCTTATGGAAGCCCTATAGAAGCCTTATATACCCTAAACTCCCCACCTGTAGTTTCCTTAACCCTAAACCCTAAACCCTAAACCCTAAACCTTAAACCCTAAGCCCTAAACCCTAAACCCGGTTCCCTAAACCCTAAACCCTCAACCCTAAACCCTAAACCCTAAAGGTTCTTTGTGTGAGGCTTCGGAAAGATCATCGACTCCCGTGAGACGTGGAAACGACTGGCCTGGCAGCCTCGTTGGTCCATCGGGCGGTGCCTTAGAATCAAGAGAGCTGGCTTTGGGGTTTGAGGTTTTTGCTTTGGGGTTTCAGGGGTTTGAGTTTTAGGCTATGGGGTTCAGAGATTTCAGGGTTTGGCGTTTTAGGGGTTTAAGCTGATTTGATTTTTGGGCTTTGGGGTTTATTGATTTAGGGTTTGGGCGTTGGGGTCCGGGTTTTGGGCTTCGGCAACTGAGGTTTAGGCTTCGGGGTTCAGGTTTCTTTGCGGCTTAGCAGGTTTTCGAAGGTGTTTTAAGGCTAGCCCTAAACCCCTAAACCCTAAACCCTTTCGGTGCTTAAGCTTTCGGGTTCACAGGTTTAGGGTTTTGGGGTCTTGGGTAGAGGGTGCCAGGGTTTTACGGTTTGGGGTTCAGCCCAGTAAGCCCTAAGAGCGTCATATGTGGCCCTAGGCCCCAAAACCTGCAAGATAATGCTTCATCTTCGGGTTAGATTTGCAATTTTTAGGGATGACCTTGGGATTTAGGGATTCGGGTTAGATGGGCAGTTTAAGGATGACCTTGGGATTTAGGGATTTGGGGATTTAGGGGTTTCGGGTTCAGGGTTTAGAAATCCAAGAGAGACTTGCTGGGTCTCGTTGTTTTGAGAGGAGGGTGAGAAACCCTAAACCCTAAAC